ATTGCCAGTGAGAATGCAAAATGACCCAATCATTTTGGAAGAGAGTTTGGTGGTTTCTTACAAAACTAAATATATTCTTTCCAGAGGACCCAGAAATTGTGCTCCTTGGTATTTACCAAAGAAGTCGAAAACTTCACACAAAAATCTGAACATGGATGTTTAGAGCAGCTTTATTCATCATTGCCAAAACTTGGAAGCAACCAAAATGTCCTTCAGTAGGTGAATGGGTAAATAAACTGTGGTGCTCCAGACACTGGAGTAGCATTTGGTGCTAAAAATAAATGGGCTGTCAAGACACGGAAGAAACAGAAATGAATATACTGAGTAAAAGACGCTCATCTGAAAAGGCTACATACTGTATGAGTCCAATCATACGACACTCAGGCAAAGACAGAACTATGGAGGCAATAAAAATATTAGTGGACACCAGGGATCAGAAGAGAGGAGGGATGAAGCGGCAGCCCACGTGGCATTTTTTGGGGTGGTATGTATGATACTAATGGTGGACACATATCATTATACATTTGTCCAAATTTAGGGAATGTGCAACACCAAAAGTGAACTGTAAAAGTATGGGCTTTGTATGGTAATGATGTGTCAATACAAGCTGATCAACTGTGAGCCATGTATCACTCTAACAGGGGATGCTGATGATGGGGGAGGCTATGCATGTGTGGGGGAAGGAGGTATATGGAGAATGTCTGTAACTTCCTCTTAGGTTTTGCTATGAACCTAAAACTACTCTAAAAAGTAAAGGTTTTAAAGAAATGCCTAACAACAGCTGGCACATTGCAGATCCTCAATAAGTGCTAATTTACTCCTTCACCTCAAGTAATTAATACCTGGACAAAGGCTACTACTATCTGCCAGCTCTCCAGGCTTATATCCAACTAAGGCCGCAGCCAGACAAACTGGCTTCCTGCACAGCCAAAAGCAGAGCGACCACAGGACCGAGTCTGCCTTTCCTCCAAAAGGCACCAAAGTAAATTACCTGGATGTGTGTGTCCCTTCGACGGACAGTACCTGGATCTAGAGATGCCTTCAGGAATTATGAACAACAGAGGGCTTCTGTGAACCCAGCAATGAAAGATCCCATTTGTGAGTTGCTATCTGGTATGTTACAACATGCCACAGGGCCTACAGTTAAGTTTGACAGAAAAAAACAAAGCCTTTGGCAAACTGCAGAACAATTTCTGGGAATATTTTAAAACTCTTTTCTGCATGTGCAGCAGAATTTTTCCTAACCAACTCCCTTAATGCCCATTTAGAGGTGATGTCTCCTAAATTCTGCGCATACCCTTGCCTTTTAAAAAAGTTTCATCAAATTTTAACTAAATACTATAGTATTTGGTTTGCCCAAATTTCTGAACTTCATATAAACAGAATCATATTACATGTAGTCTTTTTCAACTTGCCTTTCCTGCTCACTATGATGTTGATGCATGAATCATTGGTCCATTCGTTTCCAAAGTTGGGGAAAGGGCTGACATGCACGGATGTGGGCTGAGACTGGTTGCTTCCAGACGACATCTATTCTGATGGGGTGCTGTCCATGCTTTACAGCTTGTTCACCATTTTCAGTAATCACCCTGGTCCTATAGTAATCCACTGTATGCATAAACCACACTAGTTATGTTTTCAATGATCAATGTTTTGTTTTCTTCCTGTTTTTTTTTTTTTTTTGGGGGGGGATGGACCACATAACATGATCTGAACACTGGCGGTCATATGCTCTGTTGTGGGGTATGCATATTTTCAACTTTATTAAAATCAGTTTTCCTCAAAACTATGGTCATGACCCACTGTGGTTCATGTAATTTCCTAGGTTGGATTTAACTTTCTTTTTAAGTGGCAAAGAGTAGATAGAAAGGAAAAACAGAAGAGAATGTTATCGTTAGGCAGATATAATCAGTTTCTTAAACATTTGGCTTAAATTATACGTATGTATCACATGTATACACACATCAGTAAATGAATTTCTTACTGCAGTAACAGTTAAAAAGCTCAGAACTGTCTTCCAGTTGATTAATTCTCTCTTTGGCTGTGTCAAATTTATTATTAAGGCTGTTTGCTGAATTTTAAATTCCAGTTACATATTTAATTCTCAAAGTTCTATTTATTTTTCTGACTTCCTTTGTCATTTTAATATTTGTTTGCTACTTAACATTTTTAACCTTCTAATTTCTTTAAAACAAAGTTATTTTACATTCCCTGACAACTATATCTGAGATCACTGTAAATGCTTAATTCTGTTATCTATTATTTTGGCTGGTTCTATTGATAACAAAACACGATGTTTTCTTTGTCTACTTTTATAATTTTTAACTGTGAGCTAAAATTTCTTGGAATTATATATTTTTAACTCTTTGAGGTCTGGGTTGAAGAAAGATTCCTCCAGAAAGAATCTGTACCTGATTCTGCCTTGACCAACTGCTCTGGAACTACTTTACATCTATACGTGGTTTTTCTGGCACAGTTAGGTAGGTCTAAATTAGGACTGCGAGCCTGTATAAATGCTGGTTATTGGTTATGAAATACTGGATAGGCAGTTATCCTTAGAGCTGCTGAGAATTGGGAGGAGGTAGGGGAAAAGTTGTATTTGTAGTTCAAAACTACAGTATGAAAGTAGCCTTTAGGGGGTCCCAGATTTATGTGGAGACATCTTCTATCAAGCTTTTTTTCACTAACACGGGCTCTGGGCTTTGTTTCCTGTCTCCAAAGCAACAGGGGACAAAGAGAATCAAGGCTCACATTTGCTGGATTCAGAAAATGTTCTTGTAATGGGTTTGTCAGTACCTCTCTGAGTTCTCACTTTCACTTTCAGGCCAATAGTTTTTCTTGTCATTTAAAGGCACATTTTATACAATTTATCTAGCATTTTTATTTTAGTTTGTGGTGGAAGAGTAGTTTAGAGTATCTAGTCTCACATACTACCAGAAATGAAAGTTTCTTTATTATATTGAGCTTATGTTCAAGTAAATCATTAGGTCTTTCTTATGTGGGCTATGTTGAGATGTTTCTTCACTCCTGTACTTGTAAAATGGCTTTTTAGTATTTTGAATCTAAATGCCAAAATTCATATTCCAACCCATCACATTTAGCCTTTTTTGTTTCAGCCATTGTTTTAAGCCATTAAAATCATTCTGATGATCTTCAAACTTTTCCACTCACAACCTTGATTAACATGTATTCTGTATATTTATTCCAAGTTGAAAAGATGTAGAACATATCGTTCAACGTATAATTCATTATAAAACATCATCTCAGAAATAAAATGGATACATCAGAAATAAAATGGAGACATCTGGAAAGCAGCACCCAGTATGTTCACTTTTCATACAATAAAAAAATGTTGGCCTGTGCATTTTTAGAATCAATGTTTTATTACCTTTACCTGAGTATCATTTAAGGGTGATTATGAAGAATTTTTAGTACATATCCTTGAAATGTGTATTGCTATGCCTCCCTCATACACCATAAATTAGATTTGAAACATGTAAGAGTAGGTTAAAGTTAACAAGGAGGATGGCTGTGAGAACTATGATACAGAAGTAATCAATCAATCACGGTTTAAATGGTGCTGACGAGTGAAAACCTGACAGCAATAGTGAAGATCCTTCAGGGAAGGCTGAGAGTTCCTCTGAGGAGAAGACTGGTCTAGCCTTTGCTTCAGTGATTAATTTTACAAGAAGCAGCAAGATCATTCAGCATACCTGCCTCATTCCACCTTTATGAGAAAGGGATCAGCAACTAAAAACATATTAACGTTATACAGGATGACCGTATAATTTATCACTCAGGATGAAAGGTCTTATTATTATGCCAGAACACCAGGAGTGAGCCAGGACAGATCCAGTAAACAAGGGCATAGATCACCCTAACAATATACCTACATGCTTTTTTAATTAAGCAACTGCCTCAGTATCTTCTTATGCTGCCCAAACAAAGTACCCATCCATTGCCTTTTCTACTGGACAAAAATCTAAATTTATAGAATAATATGCTTAATAATGTCCTTCAACAGCCCCCCCCATATAATGTTTAATATAGTTTGTTAAAGCAAGCAATTTTATATCCTTAATTCTGAAAATTAAAGTTTTAAAGGAATTTTATCTAAAAAAATTAATTCAGTGAATTGAAATTCTCATTCCATGAATCTTTTTAAAAACTAGCTTAAATTTAAATTTTCTTGCAGTGGGACTACCTAGACACTCTGACTCCTACGTCCCCTGGGATGCACAAGTTAAAATTCGGGCATTTATAACCATTGTCTCGCTTTGGCTCCCCTGCTCACTAGCTGGCTGAAGCTCTCAAGGAACCAAGAAATCCTCTCTCGCAACTTAGAATTTGGTATTACCCCTACCCTACTTGCACCAGCTAAGAGGAAGACACTGACACAATTTAGAGTACCTTCCACTGTTTTATTTGGTCAACACAGTGTTTTTGATGTTATTAAAAGGATGGAAATCACCCAAAAATCCAGATGTATGTCTTCTATGAAAAAATCTGAAGATTTGCCAACACTTTCTCATCCACATTTCCTAAGGGCTGTTCTCAGTGAGGACTGCCCACTTCAGGTAAGACTTGTACTCTCTACTTGCCTAATCACTCATTCTTTACACGCAGCCCACTTTGCCCCTTGATGCCATCTGCCTGGCCACTGTAGAGTTTGCAAACCCTGCCATAAAGCATTTGTAAATACACACACGCCATATACACAGAAGGCTAACATGTCCAAGACAAGGGCACTGTACACCCAGAGCCTCGGGCTTCTAGGAGAGCCCTGAACACCAAACCAGATCAGCCTGTTGGCTGATTGATCTGGCTCATCTCTCATTCATTTTGCTCATGAGTGTGCTGTCCCTCATCTCTGCTTTTTCTCCATGTGTTGGCCTCATTCTCTAAGACCAGCTTTTCCCACTGGGTGCTTAATTAACTTCCTGTAGTTTAAAAAAATCCCTCCAAACCTATTTTCTTATTCATCAAAGGAGTAAATTTACCTTGCAGAGTTGTGAAGATTAAGTGAACATGTGTGTAAAGGCCTCAGCACAGCGCTGCACAGATCTCCATTCAGTTCATGGTTCTCACTATTATTTAGGTCAACAAACTCCTGAGTAAAATCAACAGTGAACCAGGTTAACAAAACAACTTTGTTTCATGGGATTTATTTTTGAGTAAAAAAATGCTATAATTTACTTGCTTGTAAAGACTATGTAACAAAACTATTACATAAATAAGAAATATAAATTCAGCTGCATCATATAATCATGGAGAGAGGGCACCTGTGGCACAAAGGGACCGTCACACAGAAGTGGCCTGCAGACTTCCCAAACTCCTTCTTTGCCTCCCTGTTCTCACTGAGGAAACAACTGTATTTCTTGTAAGGTGGCTCTACTGAAGGCACAGAAATGATTTGGGAGGGTCTTTCCCACCCCACTCAGAAAGCACAGTGGTTACTGCATTTATTTTTTAATTAAATATTTTTTTTAACCAAGGATACTGACCACTTCATCGTGTGTATGTGTGTGCTTTTTCCTTAGGCAATGACAAGGAGGTCGCTGGTTCTGCCTCTGAGGGGACCGTTGCACAGGATCATATTATGGGTGTTACAGCGTTATGACCCACCCTGCCAAAACAAGTAACAGCACCAAAACATTTAGATTTGCAGGTTAAATACCTTGTTAGGACAAACCCACTGGAGACTTTTAAAGACGTGGTATGCTTGTTTAAATTGTCTTTGCATCCTGGGGGAAGGTTACTTAGAAACCTAATCAAAAAAGTAGACCTAAGCATGAACTCTAGCTTCTCAGACTTAACATTTTAAACTACCACTCTGAATTTTGCCACTGTGAACCTGAGTTTAAGAGTCACCTTCTCCAAGAGACCTTTCCTGACTCCTTCCTTCTCCTCCAACAATTAAAAGCTGGCCACTGCTTTCTGGCACCAGACTCCTCCTGCCACACACGTCCGGCGTGGCAAGGCAGACGCCGCACGTGCTGCTGATACGACTCCCTTACTAGCATTGTGAGAACCCCTCAAGCGGAGGGACTGTGTCTATGTTCCCATCACCTAGCACAGTACAGAGGACATGAAAGTATGCACCCATCTCTACAGCGAAGCTTCAGTGGAGAATGGTGATTAAAATCAACCGTGGTGGAGCCACCCTTCAGTTAGAATCCTAGCTCTGCCGGACTCTTCCAACCCGTGCAAGTTTGGGCAAATTATTCTGTGCCTTAGTTTTTGCATAGGTAAAATGAGGGATAAGAAAATAACCCTACAGGGTTGTTGTGAGATTTAAGTGAGGTAATACAAGTAAAGTGCTTAGGAACTGGCACATTACAAGCATTCAGATTATTATAAATAAAATCACTGTGCTTATTTAAAAATCAGCCTCCAGTTCCTCACACTCTTCGCCTTAATGCTTACTCCACCCTAACCCATGATATGCCCGTTGCCAAAAGTCAAGTCCTTATCCCACTTGACTTCCATTTCCAGCTTCACCACTGCCAGCCGCCTCTTTGGTCTTGAGGCTTCCACCTTCTCCTTTCTCACTTTCCTCTCTGGCTTCTTTTCCTGCCTGGGCCAGCGCCGGAGCTCTCTGCTGTTTGTCTTCTCACTCCGCCTGCTTCCAGCACAGGTTTATCTAGTCCCTGGTCTTCAACTACTACCACATGTGGGAAAGCAGAATGGATAATTCAATGTACTTTCATCTTCGGGGGTATAGACAATTGTTACATATGGGTTAAATTTACATTAAAATTTAGAAAAATATATATGCATGCTACTGCCTCACATTTCTTCCACAGATAATACATTCCTATCCAAAAAGTCATCTATATGAAGTCTACCACTTGCATCTACCAAATTTACTTTTTGAGCCAGTTCAGCATGTAGCTTGTGAGAATCTGTGACACTGTTCAGGCAATAACTCTGATGGTAGCAGGACTGCACGGTCCAGGGTGGATCTGGTGGGTGTCACTCAGGAAGCCCATACTTCAGAGGTGGTTACAACAGACAAATGCTTTGGGGATACCTCTGGATGGGTTTTCTTTGGAGCAATCAGCAGCTTGCTAATTAGCATGATGAATATTAGACAGGATCACATTGGTGAAATGAAAGGGTTCAAGTCTGTGGGCTTGCTAAGATGTTTTAGAGATACTCCCACTGTTGAATAACAGAGTATAAGAATCTGGTCAAGTCTGAACCCCTGATGACAACTAGAAGGTCAAGAATCTTTCCTGTGCTGTGTCTGCTCTGAGTAAATGTTCCTTGAAAGGAGTATCAGAACACTTAGAAACAAAGGTTAGAGGCTTCATCAAGCTTATAAACTAGGTTTTGTCAACCATTTTTAGGTACTTGACACTGAATGATTTATCTAAAAAATTTGTGTATGTTTATAATTTAGTCAAAACCTGCTTTTGTTTTAAGCTGGTAGTGAGCTTGGGAGAGAGCAGGTAACTCCCACCAGCTTTAAGCTTCTACGGCAGACAGCTTTATCTACCTATTATCTCCCAAAAAACATCTAGGAGTTGGGCAAAACCAAATCAAGCATGGAAGAATGGTCAGGATACCTGTTATATCAGACAAGGCTCAGTCCTTCTAAGACTTAACTTTGCACAGAGCATGTGAGTGATGTGTGGCCTACCATTCCCACGGGTTTGCTGTAATAATCAAATGATTTAAAAAATGTGAAAATGATCCAGAAACTACAAGGCACTATAATCATGTGCAGTATTACCACCTTTCTGACTATTAAGTTGACCCTTGAATAAAATGTGGCTAGGGTCAATGACCCTGTGCAGATGAAAATCCATGTATAACTTTTGACTACCCCAAAACTTAACTACTAATAGGCTACTATTGATTGGAAGCCTTACCAATAACCTAAACAGTCAATTAACACATATTTTGTATGTTATATATATTATATATGTTCTTACAATAAAGGTAAAGATTTTTTCAAATTATCACAAATCTCAAAAAAATTTTGTAATGTAAGTATTGAGAAAAATTCACATATAAGTGGACCCATGCAGTGCAATCCACGTTGTTCAGGGGTCAATTGTATTTTGACACCGAAGAGTGCTGGTCTTGCGGTGGTCCTGCCTGCTTCCTGGATGTTGATTTTACATATGTACCTGTTTTTAAGGCCCTCATTCTGTTGCTTCTGAATCTCCTCCCCACCAAACACACACAGACAGACAGACACACACACACACACACACACTGATTTCTGTCTCAAATCTAAGCCATTGTGAAGTGGGAATGATATAAGCAATACTTAATTTTTATTAATATATCACCAGAAATATAATTATATTTAGTATATATATAATTAATGTAATATTAAATAAGAAATAATAGACAGGAATGAGGGAGCATGGAGGTTTTGTGAGTGGCACTACAGGTGAGGTTGGCCAGTCTGATTTTCAGATCTATAACTGTATTTAGGCCTAGTCCCAGTCATTAAATCATTTTAAGTCACAGGAGCTTAAAAATAACTTGATTTGACCTTAGAATAGAACAAAGTGTTCCAGATTGGCTCACTCCATCAGAAGCTCAGAAGCCTCTGCATATTCAAATAGAGTCTACTGTATGTTTTTTTTCAAATAAAATGTTAGAAGAGTTCCATCTTCATTTCTGTGATAGGCCTGACACTTAGTGTTACTAATGTAATGCTATTAAATTGCGTTCATTGGGCACTGATAAGTAAGTCCTTACTTCCATGTCTTCTCTTCTGGTCCTTCATTATCAGACTCAGGTAGCTGCCTCCATTTCCCTCAGAGACAGAAGGGCCAGGCCAAGGAGTTTAGGTCTGAGTCTACTGGCAGCAGAGGGCTGCTGAATATTCTGTACCGAAGAGTGTCACAGGTCCTAGTCCCAAATCCTACCACCAGCAATGGAACCTTCCACTTTTAATCTTCAGCAACTTCTCTTCTGAAGGAGACAACAGTACAGTAATCTCTCAAGTCCTCCCCGTGTTCATACCACCACTTCTCTACACCAAGTCTACAGGTTACATTCAATGTCAGTCATCCTTAATCAAAACAACTAGTATCTGTGCCCACACTACAGTTGCCTAGTTATTTATTCTCAGTCATGACTTTTACAAGTTCAACTCCGTTGCTCTTGGCAAAATCAGAAGCATATTTGTAAAGCAAGATTCTCAATTTCTTTTTTTCCTATGAATATTTTAAGTTGTGCAAGTCATATTGCTTAAAAATGGTTCACCAAATTAGTGCACACTTAACTTTGTTAGCTTGCTAAATATCTGAAAGATGGAAAACAATATGAAGTCAAAATGAAACAAAATAAAACAAAAACACTCCAATGATTTAAGTGGACGACGTCCAGAAAAAATAAAATCAAAATGACCAGTTGAATGAAAGCAGCTTACTGAGAAGTCAGCCTGTTCCTTATATGGGGGAAAGGAAATAGTAAGATGGTTATGGATAAACTCCCGTACAAGCCAGTTAATTCTTCTCTGTATAATGGTTACAGATGCAACCCGTAATTTTGGCCATTTCAAAATACTTAAATCACACCCAACAGGGGTGAATCCATACAAATACCTCACCGATGCCATAATAACACAGTTGGCATGCATTCATTGGTAGTCACAATCAGTCACGAGGAAGGCCATGACATAATAAATTAGTGGAAGGAACTGTGGAGCAAACAGGATCATCAAGTCAAGGCTTCTCATCTCACCTTGAACTCTCACTGCTGAATGATTTAGGCTATTAACTGATGCTTTCTGAACTAATTTCTCTAACTGTAGATCATCTGATCTGATTATTTCCAGTAACTGTTAAGAATCAAATTACATAATGGACACAAAAGTGGTCAAAAAACTAAATAGTGTGCTACAAAAATCAAAGGTGATGAGAACCAACACTGAGGGATTAAGCTGCTGACTAGGGAAACCTTTTAGGATTCTAGGCCAGAATCACCGCCTCGGTAATCAGTGCAAAACCAGGAGAGTCCCTGTCACACAGCATCAGGATTAGGTGTATTTCACTAGGTCTGCTCTGAACACAGCAGTGGGGAGGGAGACCACAGACAGTGGCTGCCGCGGTTGGACAGGAAGATTTATAGAAGACTGACTGCCTTGAAATCAAGTCCAAATTCTTCAGGGCAGCACCTAAGACTCTCACCAACTAGCCCCAGACACATTTTCAGCCCCAATTCTCGCCACTCCCAGCAATACATTTCAGATTGAGGGATTCCAGACATGGCACTTCTCCCAAAGGTGCTCTGCACCTCCCAGCTCTTGGGCTCGCCTCCACCCCAGCTGCGGTGGCCTCTTTCCCGTTCTCCAAGCACTCGCCTCACCCACACACCTCCGTCCACCAGTCCTGATTTTTTTGGTTCTTCAGTCCTTGTTTATCGTGCACTGTCTCCTTTAGGTTTCTTTGCTTCCCCAAGTGGTAAGTAAGAAGTCAATCATCCTTTTGCTATTATCTTTCCGTAATAGGGCTTTTGCAAGTTCAAGTTTTGCTTTGCTAACTAGCCTGCAAGCTTCTTGCCAGGCAGGGGCCATTTCCTATCTTTCCAATACTATCTACAGCAAGTATAAGTCCTCTGACATAACATGTACTTCACAAATGTTTGCAGAGTGA